ATTAATTTTTGGATTCAGAGTCCATGGCTTTACAGAGATTCGAAAATAAACGATTTTTTGCTTTTAATAAAATGAATAATTTTGGCAGCTTACTGAAGTACATCGTTCAATTCCGTTGTTAATGTTTTGCTGCCAGCGCCTATCAGTGGATCAGGCAATGTCTAAAAGCTGTATAATCATTATCAGCAGCTTTGACAAATGATTTAAAACCAATATTTTTGCTCGTCATCTCTTCTGCACACTCTAATGCACTTTAACCAATTTAAACCGTCTGTTTTGAAAAATTCAACTTTGCATGCATATCTGTTTCTCTCTTCTATGGTCTTCCAAGAGGCGATAAAATAACAACTCTTCATCGATTTTTTTCTTTTAAAATGTGTGTGAGATATTCTAACAAGTGAGCTATTTTTTAAATATCTGTTATTTCGTTCAACTGAATTGTAAATTTTAGGCTTTCTTTAAATCTAGTAATATATTGCTCGTATTGGTAGTTTTCTGATTTCAGAAATCTTATTCGTGACAGGTAAAGGAATTTTCTCGCCATAGTTACTTCACCCACCAGCGGCCGAGCGGTAAAAGTCGCTGAACACTGGTAGTTCGGTCCGAGGTTCGAATCCCGCGAACGAGCTGGCTGCATGGGTGTTTTCGTGATTTTCCCCATGTGTAACGTGTATACGAGCCAGTTTCCCTTAGAAAGTCCTCCACGAAGGCATCCCTCCCTTAGGCAGATAGCCCTAGTGTGCTTTGCCATAATTAAATACACCACCACCACCACACCATAGTTACTTCCGTGATGTATTTCCATCATTTTAATAGCAGTGGGTAATACAAAATCTTCTCCAATGGTGCATGACACCTTATTTTTAACAATCATATAGAAATTTCGTATTACTTACGGCATATAGAACTAAAACAGAGTTATAACCTATGAGAAGTTTTATTAACAATACATAACAACATTGAAGGCATAGAAACAATTATTGTATGTACAGTTATTATCCTCATAATCTAAGGATCTTGCTAGTGGCAAGAATCTATCTAATTAAGGGTTCGAGATCGTTCTGACTTGTTGGTCTGTCTCAAACAATCTGCAGAGTGAATTAGGCAAGTCTTCTTAACTTTTCGGTTTTATATTACGTCCTCCGTTTCGTTATAGTTAAAACGATACCAGAGGAGCAACAGGAGTATTTGTCTGTCAGCCTCCCTCAAATCGAGACGCTTTGATGACAGACACAGTGCATTTCGATAAAATCTCTTGACACTGGTCATGAAGTTATGACTCTTGTAATGTCCAGTGAGGACGTTACTTAACGAATTGTTTCTGCAGTGTCAGAGCATGTAGTCTCACCTCTCGTAATAGCTCGAAGACTGCGACTTGTGGAGGATAGCACGCATGAATTTCTTGTCTTTTTGTGGCCCGCTGCAGTTTCATACTCTCCATAGCCAAAACGTTATGGCAAATTAAATAAAGAGGTTGTTCATAGTCATCCCAATTTCTGAAATTATAATCAAATTGGAAAAATGTCTCATTTTATTTTTCTTTTCTCATCCTAGATACCTCTTTCCAATTATTAGATCCTGATTGAAGAGATTTCATAGCATTGCCAACCTGAGTCATTGCCTTTGTTACCCAAGTTCAACAATTTATCTATAAGTAAAAAATATTTTTACCCTAGCATATATATAACATAACATTTCTCAAAATAATTACTGAAATAAATGCCAACCTTACTCAAGTAACAGTAAAATAAAATATTGTGTTGTTCTTGCGATGCACATACTTTGTGTATAAAACGGAGTTTCACTGGAAGAAGACTGGAAGTTGGAAAAAGATTATCACTACATTAGTCGCAGCGAAGCCTATCTTTTGCTCGGCATGCTTGTGCGGAGCAGAACGTTATGTACTGGTCGTGTATAGGTATTTTGATTTTGGAATAGCTTACACGCTGCCTTACACGTTATATGACATATATACTGAAATAATTCCTATGATCGGCTGGAAAAAGTTGAATAATGTACTCTCCCGTCATTTTTTTAAAAATATGTTTAGGTCAATAAAGTTTAGATAAATAAAATTGAGACTTCTGTCCTGGTCTCAGATTAAGGTATTAGATGTTCTTAAACAAGCCTTGGTTTGGAGTCATCAGTTTTTATGATATTTTTATTTCATCGGGGTAGCAAACAAATAAATCTATGCAATAAAAAGTTTCAAATAAAATATGAGATTAAAGAAGCTGCAAAATAGGCACTAATTTTATATAAGCAGTATTTTGAGTTTTAGACTGCTGAATTCGGGAACTTAGACTAGAGTTCCAACTTAGGCGCACGGATCGGCTGCATGGCTGATTTTCATGGCTTTCCTGACGTGTAATGCAATCGCGATCCAGTCTTCCATAGAAAGTCCTCAACGAAGCATCCCACCCCTACGCAGACAGCCCTCGTATAATTGCTGTGTTAAAAAAAAATCTCGAGTTTCACATCTTTTGTCAGAAAGGTTCCAGGACAATATTTTTTATTTCTGAGTTTGCGGTACTAAAAAGGAACGAATGTTGTTTTTATGTTACCTGATATGTATTCTTACTTGGCATGACCTTGAAACATATTTCCACGCAAACTTACTAGGTAGCAGGGCTGTGCTAGCCCTGCCACACACTTTTCGGATTGTTGTCACATTCGTTAAGGTGATACAATGGATGCTAATTGTGAGCAAAGAGTTAGCAGTAAGTTCTGTGTTAAGCTCAGGAAAACCCCTAGTGAAACGTGGAACATAATTAAGAAAGCATATGCAAGCGAGGCACTTTCAAAAAGTCGTGGTTTTGAGTGGCATAAAAGGTTTCGTGAAAGCAGAGATTCAGTACAAGATGACCCCAGAGCTGGTCGTCCGTCTGTAGCACATACCGATATAAACGTGGAGCGTGTAAGGCAGTTATTGCAAGAAAACCGTCCTGTAACTGTGCGTATAATATCAGAAGAATTGAATTTGAATCTTGATGTGTGTCATAAAATTTCACGCTAAGATTTAAGGAAACGGAATGCAAGAATCGTCCCTCATACACTCACTGATGAACAGAAGAGGAAAGACGAAGAATTTCTGCTAAGACTATTAGATAGAGTAAGACGTGATCCTACATTTGTGTCCAAGATTACTGTGATTTTTATTGTTTCTCTGAGTGAAAAGGTGACTGAAAGGAAAGCTTCATCAAGATTATTGCAGACATCCATCGGGGCTGTGACAAATGAGCTTGCGAGCATCGTGGTTGAAGATTTCCCGGCTTGCTTCCAAGACCTCCAGAAACGTTGGCAGTTGTGCATAAATGGCCAAGTGAACTACTTTGATAGCAGCTAGGATCATTACTTGGTAAACGCAATTTTCTATTTTTTATGACCTTTGTCCTTGAATTTTTTTGACAAACGATTGAAAAGTATCCCAGTCTAAGGTCCATCCGCTTAATTTTAACAAAAGATTGTATAACTAGTTACGTTGTAGAACAATATATGAACTGGACAAATGGTAAACATACAAAAGAAAAAACATTACGCTTAACGTGTGTTGTGATTTACTTCATTCGCAAATATGAATTATTCAGCAATATGCCAAAAAATAATTGCCAAGTTAATTAATAAGTTCTCCTTATAAATAAAATATTATCTAACTTTTAAGCATACATTTGTAACAGTAACAAACTTTTTAGTACATAATTCTTAGGAAAAGCACGTATTTTGATGTTCTTTTCACCTCTTATTTTTGAATTTTGCTTAGCCATTTCTTATCATTTTTTCTCTTTATTTATTTATTTGAAAAATAAAGTAGCTGACTAATGTAGTTGATAAAACTGAAGGCCAAAATTCATCATAAATTAAAATAAAACCCTGTTTTTTTTTAATTCGCATCTTCTTTCTTTCATTTTTGTAAAACTATTTTTTAATTCCTTGATTAACCATTTTCAGTTATCTGAGCTTCAGTTACTAATAGTCAAGTGAAGATAAATTTAAGTAAAATTTAGTATATAGTAGGTTAAAATTAAGCTTACATAATTATTTCTAATTCAATAATTTTTCAATAAATTTAAGTAAAATTAAAAGTACGGTAGATTAAAATGAATTATCTTTCAGGATTTCTAATTCGGTTTATTTAATATACAAACCGTTAGTAGCGTAGAAACCAATAGCTGAGTAAGTTTTTGCAACTAATGGTTCTGTGTGTCTAAGGAGCGAATTCAAGTGCAACGCTCTGGCAATTTGCAAATTTCGGCTGGCAAGAGGCGTTCCTACTATCGTCTGGTAAAGTCGAATTCAAGTGCAACGCTTTACCGCACTGGCAACTGATGACGTCAAAATTGCAATGGGGACCTGGTTTGCTTTCGTTCCAGGAGAGCTTGTCCGATAAACTACATCAATATCCAATGAGACTGTGTGTCCTCTGAGCTTATGGTCAAGTGTTTACTGCGTTGCAGTGTGGCATAACGAAGTGGTCTAGTCTTGAAAACAAAAGAAATATACAGACATGTAATGTAACGTGTACAACTTTATTTACTTTATCCTATAGAAAATTCCCTCCAAAATGATCTGGAGCAACAGGTATGTGTAAAATATACTTTAGTTTTCAGACAAAAATCCTCGCTTTTTTAAATATAAACAATTTTTTCCCATTTTCAAATTGCAGCATTTGGTTTTAATTCTTCTAATAGTAAGTTTAATTTAAAATTCAAATTTGTGTTATATTTTTCTTGTTCAATGCAGATGCATGATTCTTCGGTGACAGTAGGCATGTTTACCGTATGAAAGTTAACTAGTTCTTGAATTATATAGCAATTAATAAGCCCATCTGTGTACAAGCAGATAAGCCTGTGAACACCGCTATCCCAGTCTCTTTTAAATCATGAAAAAGTGGCTGCAGGAGGTCATTTTTTTCCTGCATTATGAAAATTCTTGTGAAAAACATTAATACCACCACTAATTTTACAATGATTATTTTTCAATTCCTCAATAGAAATATTAAAAACATATATATATATGCCATTTGCACACTCTTTGTATTAAATATGTACACATAAAAACTATTAGATTAAAAACTGATGATTACTTAATTATCAAAATTAAATTAAATTAAATTAATTATTCACTTGATTATCAAAATTTCAGTTATAATACTTTAATATTTAATTTCTTTATGTCTGCTCTTATTTCATTTAATGGTAAATTAGGATCCACTTTTTATTTTGGTGAGTATTTATATTTCAAATTTAACATGGAAAAAATCATTTTTCACACAAACAGGTTGTGCGAAAAGACAATACAAATTTGATAGCTTTATTTGAAATGCCTTTAAATTCTTTTTTTCGGTTCAGCCAAAAGTTAACAAGTGTGTCATTTTCCAAATCTTCAGTTCGATTTCGATCAAAGGAAATTTCTATTAACTATTCTTTTCTTTATGAGATTTTTGAATTTAATAGTTAAAAATACTTTGTTTCTTTGCGTACCACCGGCTGAGAACCGCTGGTATAAATTAATTATAACAGATGCAAATTAATATTTCTCATACAAAGAGTTATTTCAATTCTTATCAAAATCTCAAAATCATCTCAGTTATTGAGAACATTATATACAGAGTATGTCTTTCATTAAGAACAAGATTTTAAGAATTTAAAATAATAATCATTAAATCCTCTTGATCTATAAACAGTCTTAAAAATTATAAAGGGAAAAAAATTGAAAGTTAAAGAAATCAATATTATGAATTGTTCCTTTTTAGAGAAGTTTCATTGTTTAATTAATTATAAAAAGTGTTTTACATTATGAAATATAAAAATTAAGAATATTTGAATTTGAATGAATATTTTAAAATTTTCCCTCAGATAGAAGCTCAACTATTCGAAGCAGGAGACCGAAGAGAAAAAAGGAAGAGAGATGATATTACAGCTGCAGAAAAGGAAATAATTGAAACGCAGAAGAATATATTAATGTACTGTGTGAAATATGTGACTTGTATAAGCAATCAGTTGCAAATCAGACTGCTGTCATAGAAAATCAAAATATAATTATTAATTTATTAAAAAAATAAATCATGCATTTCAAATATTACAGTGTTTTCATTCTTGTATATATTTCTGCAGTGTGGGATTCATATTTTAATTGTAAAATTTACTACTTTCTTAATTTTATAAAATTTTGTGATTATAAAAATTATTTAAAAGAAATTCACAGATCCATTATATGACATAAACATTATATAATTCTAATACCACTATTATAAGTCTCGTGAAAATATTTATGCATTTTACACAGCAATTATCTTTTTCCTGGAGGAAAATGGGAATAAGACCTGTAAGAATCTTTAGTCAATGTATTACAAATTTTAATTTTCAGATATAACATGAAATGAATTAAATTGTTTTTCAATTATGTTAATAAGTTATATGAATGAGATGTGGTATTAAAAATTTCATTTCTTTTTATCATTGAAGAAATAACATTCGATGTCCTACAGCTCCATAACAATGGCAGATAAAATTGGCATTCTAATTTCGAAGTTCTAAAAATACAGAGTAACTTAAAGATGACAACTATTAAAGTATGGCTAATGTCTAGTTTACAATAACAATGTTGAGTCGCGTACTAAAAAGTAAGTGAATCAAACTGTATTTATTTTCCCCCTTCTCTTTTTTTTTGGCTGAAAAACAATTTATTATACACTCATGATTTTACTTAAATGTATTTCTTTTAATGGCAAACCCACTGAGGTAAGTATGCAGTAAGTTATTATAGTGAATGCGTAATTATGATATAAATCTAAATTGAGCAAACAATCTTTCCCTTACTTTTAAAATCTAGAATTAAAAGAAAAATGTATGTTCTTTAAATACAAGAGGATATGGAGGCATAAATCATAGGCTGTTTATTCTTTACATATTATGCTAATCAGGAATTGGAGCAAAACCCTGCTTAATCGAAGAATACGCTCACAGGAATGGTGGAGGAAAATTGAACTGTCCAATATTTGTTTTGCCCACCCCAAGAAGACATAAACAGTAAATAGAGTGAAATAATTGTTTTTAGGAAATACATTTAAATATCTTTGACAGAATATGTCAGTTTTAATTTGTACTATAATAAATAAGCATGAAGTTCTTATGCTATTAAATGTGTATTGTCACATGGAAATTTTCTATCTTGTCCCACGGAAGGGGACGAAAGGGAAACATTTGACTTTTTGGAAGAAACTGAATTTCGGTGCAGTAAATCTTATTGCTAAGTTTAAGATAAATTAAGTGCAATGCTAATTTATAGTGACTTACTATTGTAAATCATGACTGGCATACCAACACTAAAATATATATATATATCGAGCCTATTAAGTTATTTCTGGTAGTCAAGAGTTTTTAAACATAAATGATGGAAACAAGAAATTCAGAGGGAAGAACAATAATGATAAAGGTTGTCAGTATGCATTTGAAACCAGGACAAATAAAATTATTTAGGATTATTATTATCAATTAAAATCATTTAGGGTTGTGAATTTAGTTACAGGTTTAAATATAAACCATGGCTTGTGGGTCCCCAAGAATATATTATGAAAGTAATTTTTTTCATAATATATTCTTTATTATCCATGAAGGGGGTTTCACCTTTGCCAGAGGTTCATTGTTGCCCACTTTGGGTTTTTATTATCGAGTTTCAAAATTTAAAGATAATTCATTGTGCAATGCAATTTCAACATGCACTGACTGAAAACTTTCTGAAGGTACCAACTCATCATCTTCAAACACATCAATCTCAGGATTTTCAACACAATACCTTAAGCATATATTATGTAAAATGGCCACCAGATATGACCATTTTACATATTTTGCTTTGTGAATACAATAGTGTTCCACCAGTATCGTACAGTACCCTAAATCTTGATTTGATCTCTATAGCTGCACGAACTTTTCTGTGCTTCTCATTATAGAGATATTCCCGTGATAAAATGGGAATATAATCCACTATCTCCCAAAGATATGCATGATGCGACAAAATACTATCTAGATTTTGTTTGAGTCCACTCAAACTCCATATAAATGCATCATGAGTATTGCCTGGCCATTGTCCTACAGCATAGAGAACCCTCAGACCAGCATCCCATACCTAGAAAAACATAAATCCTAAGTCAAAAGAAAGTTTCATCTGAAATTTTAATACACAGATTTTTAACATTAAATATAGTTGATATATTAATAAATCAGTCTTTTTAAGGAGTTTACTTTCCATTTTTAACAAAAATATGTCACTGTTTTTTCATTATTAAAAATATGCAATAAAACGTAAAAAAAAAAACATTATAGCTACCCTTTTTTCATTAAATTGTAGTAATTATAGTAAATAGGTGATTCTAAAATTTATTTAATATTTTGTATTATTTAATATCTATACTTCACTATAATTATAGTATAGATAGCTTTTTGTTATTATTATTTGAATAATAATAATGAAACATTCTTGCAGTAATTTGAAATGACTATAATATTATACTTATTATCATATATTTCTTACCTTTTCACCATTAATGGAAAATTTATTTTTCCGGTTAATGAAGACAAAACAAAAATTAATATCACCACACTCGCAACATCTGCGGTTTCATTTGTAATGTAACCCAAAATAATTCTTGGTAAGCTAGGTAGAATCACATTTGTGATTGCACTCCAGTTCTTTTACAGCTGGTCGAGAAGAATTAACATCTACTGTATGTGGAAATAGCGAACAAAACAAACAGTAAGAAATTGGAACAATTACCTGTGGACAACTTGTATTCATAGCATTCTAAAATGAGCTTTTGGTAAAATTTGACCGCAAATAAAACAGTAGTAATGAACGAATGTTTTTTCACGAAGTGGGTCCAATACTTTCACAGCAGGGTTATTTCATGTATTCTGCAGAGAGACTGATGTATGGTTTGTTGTAACTGCTGTATACAAATGTCTGGCTCAGAATTCCACAGCAGCAATTGGCACAACTTTCATGGTTGATGGTATAATATGGAGGTACCAAAAATTAGTATTATCACAGTAACTGCAAGATGGCTTATATTTCTAAAACTCAGTTAACACATTTCATGCAGAAAGAAAATATTATCCAGTTTCATACTTAAATCAAGGTCACTGAAATGTGGTAAAAGCAATCTGCTTAAGAAAACAGATGCCTCTGTAGAGGACTTTCTATGGAAAACTGGCTTTCATTCCCATTATACATGGGCAAAACCAATGTCATGTAATATAATAATCTATTAGTACAGTAAATACATTTAATTTCTTTGCATTTATTTATGTCATGCTGCTTTTCATGTAATTTAGTATGATAACCTTATAAGTTTATTTAATTCTGCTCATGGTCTACGGAAGTAAGGTAAGTCACCTGTTATGAGAATATCAAGTTATTAATATTTATGTGAAAGTCTGCAATAACTTTTCATATCATAAGAGATTTACGAATGTGTATATAACTTACATGTGTAGTTATTATGCAAGATCTATAGAAAGTATCCAAAATTACCATGACATTAATCACACTGTACGAACAGGCAAGACATTATACATTAGGAGAAAATTAACTAATATTTTGGGGGATGAAATACTATTTTACACATGGGAACTGTTTAAACAGCTGAGAAAAATTCGTGCTTTTTCCCCTACAGTTACAGAATATATATATATATTGTTTCATAAGAATAAAAAGTAAAGTTAAATTTAAATAATTCTCATGCGCCATTGCTGCAAAGAATGAAATTTGAATTTAACAAATATTCTCTATTCATATAAAGTTAATTTAAATTATGAAATTTTAATTGCATACATATCAAAGATTAATTATTGCTGCAAACTTAATTTACTATATCACTTGAAATTCTGAGAGCATATGTAAATTAAATGCACGTATCTAAAACCATGAAAAAATATATAATATTCCAAAAAACTAATCCCAATATATACATATATATATATATCTCAAAGACAGGCATATGCATAATTTCTGTTAGAAAAAACAATTTCTCTCCGAGATTACGTTTTAGAGTAATTAAAACAAAAAATTAATGGTGATATTATTACTGCATTCCAAAATTCGCAGTAATTAACGATTTCGATCATTACTACGAAAAAAAAAAAAAAAAAAAACGGGATGAAAAAGAAAGAATCCTGATACAATAACATTAAAAATTTGTGTGTTTACGTATAAAAATATATAATATTCTCAAATAGGTCATTTAAGCATAGTCTTTGATTCGGAAACATTTCCAGAAGTATTTCAGTTTTCATAATCTAAAGTAAAAACAAACCTGCTTTTGCAGAGAATATCCATTGGCAGTTGCCTTCAGAAAAGGTTTCAATTCATTGAAGCAAACCGATTTAATCTGAATCAACTGATGAATTCACGCTCCGACATTTCAAAAGCATTACGACTGTCTCTTAAATGCCAAGGAATTCGATCAGCATTTCTCCGATTTCTTAAACGTCTGAGCAAAATCACTTCAGCCATCTTGTTTACAGTCGCTGTTAAGAGTTTGCGGCAGGTCAGGAGTAGCCGCAAAATTCCTCTATGGTAGTGACGTATTTTCAGTAGGCGTGTCCGAAAAGCGTTGCACTTGAATTCGGTTTTTGCAATGCAAGTGCGATTACCATGACAAGCTTTGCACTTGATTCGTATCATTATTAAGTTCCCTGAAAATTCAACGAAAAATGTCTTTCACATGAGTAAACGGCAACAAAAAAGGGGGTGGTGTCCAGGCCTTGTTCAAATCGAAATTGGTTTGGAAACGCACCCGTAATAATCTGACAAAGTCTTCTGGAGCGTTCTTTAAGTGTGCGATCACCTTTGAATAGTTTTCTTTAGTTGGCGGAAAACTGGTTACGAGTCTTGACGCTTTAGAATCTGCTACCACACATTGTAGACAGATATTGAAATTTGTCTTCATCCACAATGGAGAGGTCATCTCTGTGAATTTTTTCAAACTGGGAACCAAAAAGCAAGAAAGTCTTTCGGTTCTCTACTAAATTTTCCTCAATTCAAGTTTCGGAAGCTTGAATTTCCTTTTTGCTCGGTTGTTGTTCCTTCCGTAACCGAAACCGAAGTTTGCCCTTCTTTGCATTTTCCTAACAGCGAACAGAATCAAGCAGAACTTGTCACGGTTGATATTCTTCTGCTTTCAGAAAAATCTTCAGGAATATTCGTCTTGAAGAGGTATCATCACTTAGCAACAAATTCGAAACTTCTTCTTGAGTTGTTTCCAAACGTGAGAATTTGTCTTGAATCTGCCGAAACAACGTACTGACTTCGTCACTTACTTATTAAAAAACTTTTATTTTGGATCTTCTGAGCTATATCGTTGCAGCATACCGTAAAAGCTGTTCTCAGCGACTTTCGTTTTGCTTTCAAAACTTTTATATCCATATTTCATCAAAATATAAAGTAGCGGACGCCAAATTTACTATGTTGCAACTCACAGGGCTACAACGTGCAGGTTACAAATTAAATAATCACAGCAGGGATTATTAATATAAAGATTTAATACGGATATCTCACACAAGCTGAAAACGTTACATTACTTTAACTAGTGCATACATATAACCGAGTGAAAAGGGAATTTCCCCGCTTAGTTCTCAGTTAAAGAAAAAATAAGAATAATAAAAAATAGTCCAATCAGATGCGGCGCTCCTTCTGTTGACCTTCGCCGAGCCGTTATGTAATCGTCTGTCTGCAGCGGCCGTCTCCAACAGTCGCCGTGTCATCAGCATACATTGCTAGTGTAGTGTTGGGGGTGGTGGGTACGTCATTCGCATAACTATTGCAAAGGGTAGGCCCTAGTTGAGACCCCTGAGGGTGGCCAGCTGAAATTAGACGGTTAGTGGAGTAAGTGTTAGAAAGGTGAACGACAAACCAAAGAGCTCTAAGTGAAAGGTCACTCTTTACCTACATGTTGCCACGTTTCCTTATTTCGATGCTTTCTTTAACCTTGCTTTCGTAAATAGCTGAAACCTGAAGTTATAGGTTCTCTCTTTTAGCTGAATGTTTTCAAATAAATATTTTTATTTATATCCGTATTTGAATGGGATTGGAAAATGTACCGATATGGATTGCTTTAAGAAAATATTCAGGAGCATCTCAAGAAACTAAATAAGCTTGGTTCTGTTCAAAGTAGTTTAGGATATTCCTAGGCTTATTTGGAAGAAATAAAAAATAGTAGAACTCAATTGTTCGGAGGTTTCGAGTATAATTTTAAAATCAAAGATAGAAGGGTTTCTGTTTTTGTGCAAAAGAGATTAACTCGATGTCACGTGACCATAAACGGTCATCTAATTTCTATCAGCCAGTGGGTATGAAGATTCTAAATACCTGGCATTCTTTGGAGGATGGTTGGTTGTATGAAATTTGGAGAAGTTGGCGAGAGGTGCATTGTTTATTTTCTTTTTCACCTTGATAATCGAATATTGATGCCATCTGCAAATTCTTCATGATGTTCTGTCAACGAAATTTCAAAATGTTAGAACTGTCATGTAATTTGGGATTGAGATAATACGTCAGTTTCTCTGTTAACTAATGGTGCATTTTTTTGTACGAAAGTAAGTTTGAAAGTTTTGTGTGTTTAAGTAACATTACGAAGTTTCATAAATCGTGAAAGTATGCAATGCCAGAAAGATATGCATTTGGATTTTGTAGCATGCTAATATGAATTATTCCAGTATGTTCATTTAAATTAACATTTCTAGAGCAATCTATTAGCGAATCGAGAGGCAGTTTATTACATACGTTATTGAATTTAATGACTGTTTTTCTTAGCTGGAAAACATTAATTATGCTAGAAATAATTAGCAGTATTTTTCGAATTTGTATGATTTACAGTCTAATGCTGTTCAAGTAAAATTTTAGCCATCTCATACGTTGAATAAATTACTGTTAAATAATTGGTTGCTGATAATGTTTTATAAGGTAAATTTGATGGGAACGTTAAGGAAAAAAAATGTATTGTTAAAAGCTTTTATCGTTTGTTATAACTAATGATTGTATACTCTATTTACTCGCAAAAATTTTCCCTTTTGCCTTTTTTCCTCCCAATTTTTTCTAGCATAGTGATTTATCAACTCAATTTATAAGTGTGGGTTCTTGTGTAGAATTGGGTGCCCTTTCTATTGGCAACATTTTTTTTTTTTTTAATTTTGGGGATGAAACTTCACTTCTGGTTACCTCAATAGTTTTACGTTTGTTTTAGCTTCCTGATTTTATTTAAATGAAAATAGATTGATGTGTACATGGACATATTTAAAGCAGTGCGCAATGCCTAGTTTGTGCAATTCTAGGATGTTTTTTTAAGTAAAAACAGATCGATGTGTACATGGACACAGATTTTGTGCAATTCTTTGACTTCTTATTTTGGTTTAGTGTAGCGTACATCTTGAAATTGTGCCTTCCTGGTGTCGATCTTGACGTCAAAAAGGAATCGCCAATAAACAAGGGGCACCCGTGAAATGTGAAACAGTGCACAGATAAGAAATTATTTTGTGTAGGTAAAAAGACATTACTGAAATTGGTAAGTCCTTTGAAATATATAGAATAATAATGTGTTTTTATGTGCCGTGTTTATGATTTAAGCCATCTCTTAAAAGAAAGTATCTGCCATGTGTTTTTCTCCTCCCAGTTTTCAAGTTATAAAAGTAGTAAAAAAAGGGAAAATTATGTGAGTAAATATGCTGTTATATGTAAATGTGTATATGTACATATGTACACTGCACAAAACAGCGGTATTATGATTTTGGATATAAACTGTGGGTGAGGAAATGTTTCGGTGGCTGATATATGTTGTATAAATGTTGTAAGATTGAGAAAAGAAAACAAACAAGGAATAGTAAAATTGCATTGATGATATTTGTCAATAAACAAAAGATGGACAAATTGGGCGGAACAGCTTGAGTATAGGACCTCATTGGCGATTTTTTGGCTTGGCGACCAGAAATGTCGCCAAACCATGGAAAAGCAGTTAAAATTTAAAACACCAGTTAGAAAGCACGTTTTAACCAGAAAAAAAATTTAGAATATTTGTTTAAACAGTAAATTTGAAGGTACATAAGTAAGTAGGGACATATTTTAAGCAGTAATATTGAAAATACAAGCCTTGTAAAAGCAGTTAAAATTGAAAATAGATGTTAGAATGCGCATTTTAACAAGAAAAATTTTAAATACAAATTTAGAATGTATATTTAAACAATGAAACTGAAAAATAAATAAATAATTAGAGGCATATTTTTAGCAGTCATACTGAAAATACAAATTACAGGCTGTAAAATCGAAAATAGGAGCTCAGAATACATGTTTAAATTAAAAATATGAAAATAGGAGTTAATGCATGTTTAAATTAAAAGTGAAGAAAAGTTGAAAATGCACAAGTACATGGAGGGATATTTTCAGCAGCAATATTAAAAATACAAATTTTAAGTTATAAAACTGAAAACAGGCGTCCAGAATACATGTTTAAATTAAATATAAAAGAAATGCTGGAAATTTAGTAAAGTTTACAAAATTATGGTAAATTTACAATGAAATCCTGTACTCTGTCCAATTTATCTCCCTTACAATTTCTAGAAATTTGTTGAATACATCAATATTTTGCTCCTTCGAAGAAAATGACACTTTCCAGTTTAAAACACGCGGGAATGCGACAGGGTTGCCGACATGGTGTATTCTAGAATTTACTGGGGTACCAGAGAAACAACCATCCAAAAAGTGCGCCAAGCCAAAAATCGCCAATGGGGTCCTATACTCAAGCTGTACCAATTGGGCATGTGATGCAAACAAAAAATGCGATATCTCATATACAAATAAGTTTCAGTAAGAAGTATGGTTTCTCCTGATCAAAAGCAAAGTTGCACACTTACAAGGCATGGAATCAATGAAGTTATCAGTGAGGGACTCGCTGATAATTTTCAGGTATTTTCTCCCACTCCTGTAGAAGAAAGCTTTCAGACTGCTGAATTGTTTCTGAGGGTGATAAGCGACTAGCAACCCTTTTTCCTAGAATGTCTGGGGAACTTGCTGGCCAATCCATTTAAAGAATTCCTGGTAAAAGTATATTTTAGGGTACCTCTTGGCAAAACTTGGTGATTTTTGGCACTACATGGATACCAAGTTTATGCAATTCGACTTGTTATTTTGGCCTGCGTAGCGATGATTTTTGGTGCAAGAATTGCTGCTTCACAAGCCAAAATAACAAGTCAAAGAATTGCACAAACTCTGTATCCATGTACACATCGACATATTTTCAGGGGACAGTGAACGTTCAAATACTTTTTTTTAAATTATTGTCACAGAATTATGAAATTTTGCATGCATGTATATTTTACTATAATTATATCAAATATCTTTGAAAAAAAAATTTTGGATCATTGCAATTTAATTTTTTTCAAATTTCTTTTGAATTTTTAAAAATTTTAGAAAATGCTCCATGCGACTTAATTTTTTTCTGTTTCTTGTTATATTTGCTTTATTTTTATTAAAAGTGCATTGCAAACACAACTTAGTATCAATTAGTGAATTGCATAAAATGTTAGTTTTTAATTAATATTTCTTTCACATTACCTGAATTTTTGATAAAATTTCCCGCTTTAATACATTTTAATTGGACTTTTATCCCCTTAATGAATTCGCATTCAAAAATGGATACTGATTTTTGTTACATGTATAAATGGGAATCTAAATTACAAATTATAGTCATTTTGAACAGAAAATAAAGCACATGGAGCATTTTGAAGATGTAATAATCGCGAAAATTTCATTATGAGAAAAGTACATTTTAAAAATATTTTTACACTTACCTATAATATTTCCTTCTTAACATGTCCTAATATATGATTTTATTTAATATAAAATATTTTAACATTATTTTACGTATGCATAAATAATGTTTTTACTAATAAAATCGTAGAATGGTAAGAAATGCTTAATATTATGTTAGAAATTTTCTCGAACACTTTCAGTAAATTCATCCAAAGACTTTTTTTTTTTAAACTAAGAATCACTTTAAAAACGTCCGGCACCATATGTTTCTCCTTCCTCATTTACATTTTCATTATGTTTACCTTTCTTAAATAGTTTTTCTGGTAATTCTTCTTTTCTTGTATCCAGTCGAACCCCTCTTTTTGCTTTGATGTATACGACATTTATCTTGCCTCTGCCCAATAGATATTGAACATGAATTTATATCTTTATGTTCCATACCTAAAGTATTTAAACGCTCAAAATTAAAGTCACTAATTGCTGTGATAAGAGCTATTTCGAGTCTGTTTTAAATACAAATGTTTCTTTCGGGCAGTTCTTCCAAATGTCGCTATGTGAACTCTCGTTAGTGTTTTGTATTTTTTCAGATATGGATCATGCTAAAAGCTGATTACTGGCTAGTCATTGATACAATGGCAATATTTTGGATAAAACATTTACTGTTGATTTGTTTTTCATCATTGAATGAGATTTAGGTTTTATATTTTTAGCAATGCTAAACTTTCAAAAAAAAAAAAAAAAAATATATGACATCTTTTGGGTATTTATAATGTCTGGGTAACTCATCCGTGAAACAAACTTGCATAAATTGTAGTCTTCATACCCTTACACATTTATATCTTACTAACAGTAAAAATATTGTTGCGGAAATTAAAATAATGTTTCTCAAATGTTTACCTTTTTATTGACATTTATGTCACAAAAAAGGTAAATAAGCATATTTAAATGCTTATAACTTCTTTAAAAATAATTTTACATAAAAGCGGTTTTGGCTAATCTTTGGAATATGATAACAGGTAGTTTGGCGACATTTTGGTAAGGCGATAAAGGTTACTAGCTAGGACTTTAGCAGCGTACATGGATAAAGTCAAGAGTGTGTGCAATGCCATTTTTGTGCAATTCTGGGATGTTTTTTTAAGTGAAAATAGGTCGACGTGTACTTGGATGATACCGTGTATGTGCAGTTCTTAAAAACGTGGCAAGCAGTAAGCGATTCTGCACTTTCTCCCAATTTCGCACCTCATCTTCGTCATGATTAAGCACTTTTATTCCATAAAAGTTCTAGCATAAGCATAATTTGGCTAGCAGATTGTTGGAAAAAAATTTTGAGTAAAAAAAAAAAAAAAAAAAAATGCCTTTACTTCGTGAAAACAAAATGGCGGCCAAAAAAAAAAAAAAAAAAAAAAACTAGCAGGTTGCTGTAGCAGGGTTGGTCGCCAAATTTTCGCCAAAAAATCGCCAAGTTACCACAATCCAAAGATTAACCGCGGTTTTTTGTGGACGATAGAGTTAAAAACGGAAGAATATTATCATATGAAATTTTTATTTCCCAATTTTTGGTCGATTTTTGCTAAAATCATCATCTATGTACACATCAACCTATCCCCGAATTGTGCAAAAATGGCTTTGTACACTCCCCGACTTTATCCATGTACACATTGACCTATTTTCACTTAAAAAAACATCAGAGAATTGCACAAACTATTCTTTACACACTTTCTTGAGTTTGACCATGTACACATCAATATATTTTCACTTAAAAAGTCAAAAGAGCAGCCAATTCTACAGTAGAGGCAAACAAAAAATACATAATCTCAGTAAACTACATTTTAAACTAAACAATAAAATATCACATTAAGGAAAAATCTGTTGTGTATTTTAGTCCTACACAAAGCAAATATCCCCTTACCTTATTGAGAAATTCGTTCATCTTCAGTCTGTGGCACACAAAATTCCTTAACAGCATCCAAAAACTTCCTAAAATTATCTGAACTACAATCCGTATATTGGCGTCGCCATAGAAATTCGCAAAAATAAACTACATAAAAAATATACTCTGTAGTTTCAGACAATGGCTGCTAAGTAAACCTTCATTTACACACCAGTCAATTAATGCACTTTTCCCTTTTCGTTCCAAATCGTACAGAAACTTCAAATTAATCCTACTACATTCAGCCATTGTACCATCTAAACCCGGGATCCCCAAACTATTTTGGACAAGTGATCCCTTTTCCAAAATGAACTGTTACCTCAGACCCCCATGGCCAAATTACCTACTTTTAAGATCAACCCCCTTATTCATAATGGTCCGCTAACTTAAAACAGCTGCTACAGAGTGTTATTTTTCATTCTGACTTAGGTCAATAGAAGAAGACAGAGTGAGAATTAGCAATGCTTTAAGTTAGCAGACTATTATGAATAAGGGGTCCTATCTTTAGTTTTTTCCTATTGATACAAAATACCTAGGTACTAAGGTACCAATTGGGAAAACTTTGCACTTGGTTAAGTGAGTAAAGTTGACTTCATTTTCTCATCAAAATTTAACAAAATAAAAAGACATACAATTCAGTAAATATCAAGTTTAATTTATAATGGTAATAATTACAAATTAAGTACTTAAAGAATCTTAAGTAGATAGGAAATTATATTTAAAAAAGTATTAATTCGCAAAGAGAAAATAAAACATTCAGTGTGATGGATGAACCTGGTGACTATCTACCAATCTAGCTACATCCGGTTCAATATTGGTGAGTTGCAGCC